TGTTTTCGACGCAATGTGCCACGAATCGGAACTTGTCATCTTGTACACAAGTCAAATTCGTCTCTACCATGTGACACGCATTCCGAAGAACTCAAGTCTGGAGTCGCAGACACGATGGACCAATCATCGCTCATTTTGAGGGTTTGCAAAATCTTCCGCCGATTCGCACGAAGTCCAGAGCTCATGTGAAACACCTGACCACATCGTTTTTGATCACTCCAGTCCACAACAGCCCACTCCTAGCACTTGAATCAGGCCTTGTCCGAAGTCTCTTGAGCTTGTGACGCATGGTTCCCGACTTCATGGTGCCGATCTCTGACGTTCCCCGTTGTAGACCAAAAGACGAGTCCCACAACGCCTCATTTTTCAATTTCAACCATCGCCACCATGTCGTCGGTCCAAGAGCTCCACTTTTCTTCCGAAGCCGCCTTCCGCGACGAGATCACCCTCGACAAGTACAAGGACCGCTTGGTCGTTGTCGACTTTAGCGCCGTGTGGTGCCCACCGTGCCAGTACATCAAACCCATCTTCCGTGACTTTGCCAAGGACCTCCCGGAAGCAGCGTTCATCGAAGTCGACGTCGACGAGAGCGACGAGCTGTCGGCGGCCGTCGGTATCCGAGCGATGCCGACGTTCCAGTTCTATCGCAACGGCAAGAAGATTGATACGATGACGGGCGCCGACCCCACGGGTCTCAAGCGGCTGCTCCATCAGCACAAGTAAAGTCCCTCAAATCTCGACATCGTAATTACCCATCAATTAAAAACTTGTCTAGCATTTACCGATAAAAATCCTTTAGAAGCACAGTTGACTCGCTGGAGATCCGACAACTTGAGCGGCACACATCAAGACGGCCTGGCGAGTACCTAGCACAAACAAGCGACCATCAGGAAAGACGATATTGAGAACAGATAACCGCACACCTCACCTTTTGCTGTCGTGCCCACTAGTAACGTTATGCGAAACTTGCGGGCGGCTCCTTCTGGACAATGCACCAATAACGTCACGAAAATCTTGTGGAATACAAACATTATGACGTTATTAATTAGAAAAGCCGATTATTTCAGGGCCGCGACGAGTTCTTTCAAGGGCGCGGGGTTGGCGCCGACCATCGTATCGACGCGGCGGCCGTTGCGCCAGAACTGGAAGACCGGCACGACGTCAATACCGAGCGCTTGAGCGACTTCGACGCTGTCGTGCACGTCAATCTCGAGAAACTCGACCTCGCTGCCAAGGCTGTGGGCCAAGTCGTCCACGATCGGCTTCATCGACTGGCACGGCGGGCAGCCCGCGGCGCTAAAGTCGACAACGACCAAGTGATCCTTGTACTTGGCTTGCGTGAGCTCGTTGCGGAATGCAGATTCCGAGTGGAGCGACTGCATGTGAATGCCCATGATGGTGGTGTAGTGGTGGTGATGCTGCTGGAAAGCAAATTGAATTGTGCGTTGGAGATTGCTCGCCTCGTTTCGGCCGGGCCTGGCCCACGTGCAAAGGATGCGACGTCGATGTTATGCAACACCGCCATTTGGGACATGTCGATTGAGATTCGATGCGACGCGGCTCCTCGCGTCGCCTCTCTGCGCTTTGCTTGATTTTGCGGCTGCGACTCGTTGTCTCTGTACAGGCTCTTGGATGGGACAATGTCTGTACGCGCTCGCTGCTCTGCGTGCGCTGCAACGACCCTACGCGTGCAGTCTGCACTGCGTTGTGCATCGCAAGTCTGCTGGTCGTTGCGAGATGTAGACCCAAGCGCCTGAAAGTCCTAGAGCCGTCAAGAGCTAATAGCCGTCCGTATGCGCTCGCTAAAAGGGTTCACGCCACATCCAAATGATCGAAATTGACGTTTGGAAGCGTCGAATCTTTGCCTTGTCACGATCGTGATACATGTGCCCACACTGGATTCACGATATGTCATACGACATGTCTTTTTGGGCCTGGTCCGCACGTCCAGGACCGTAGTCCCCAAGCACAGCGAAACTCTCGTCGACGTGGACCATACATGATAGTGCACACGTCCAAAAGAGATAAGACTGCTACTAGCATATTCAAATGCCATGGGAAAAGTAGGCGACAACACTATTGCCTTTTTCCATATTCTAATACCCACGACAACCCATGGGGGGCAGAAGTGGCGAGCGAGACACCACGCATCGTCTGTGCGAGTCGCATGTATATTACCGTGCTGCTTGCTGTTTCTGTGTCATGGGCCCTGTTCAGAATGCGCTTGTGGCTGAGCATCCAGGATGAAAAAAGCACACCTTCTGGGCAAGAGACAGTGATGGCAATAGAATGTTTGAATTTCTAGAGCTATGTCAAGCCGTCCTAGTTCGTGTCTCTCGATCACAACACCGCAAACGAGACTGTGGCGATGTCTTTGGCCCGCCTGCACGAATGGATATGCCTGCGTAACCGGACTACCGCTCGCACTGTAGTCAGCGTGGTTGGACATTGCAGAGACGAGCCGACCGATCTATCCTTGCCCGTTCGGGAGCCGCCCGTGCGCCACTTCGACGCGCATAGCAATGTGAAATAAAGATAAGCGACTTAGCAACTTGGCGAGCCCGATACGCTGGCTCTTAACAGCCCCGCCTTGCACATCCGAAGCCTCAAAAGAGCTCGATATCCGAAGCCTCAAAAGAGCTCGATATCTACGCGCACTAAGTACTGGTACTGTGCCACAAAGGTGATATATGCATGCCAGAGTTTCTGGCACGGTGATACGGCCACGAGCAAGCCGAGCGCTTGATGCTACCAGCTCCAGTTCACTTGTGGCGTCAATGACCGCTCAACGAGCATCGCGTTAGCACTCTATCGTTGGTCTTTTTACACATGTTACTCCAGTATGAAGAGGACAACGAATGCAGCAGCGTGCTTGACGGAGTGTTTGGACAGCCGAACTGGGCGTGGATGTAGCTATCTTTGAGCTTTACCCGCCGCAGTCGATGATATCTCTCGACGACGACCTCCAGGGGCTACGCAGATTTCTCCAAATCTAAACGTCGAAAGAGCATCCTAGAGTGCGTCGAGATGCCCCATCCGAGGCAAGAAGCACCTGCGGATGGGCGAGACAAGTCGCTAAGCCCAGCGAGAAGGAAAGAAAAAGAGTGCGAGTCCACGTTTGCAAACTTTCCAACTTTCCTCAAGACCAAGCTTACGCGAAACGCGCTCAGCATACAGGTATAGTTGCGGCTCTGCCCTCCATCGCGCTTGTTATCGAGGTAGATGGCCGTGGCGCTGGCTACTGTAGCCATCATACTAGCGACAATGTCCGAAGCTATGGTGTCGAGGACTCTCCATGGGACCCTCCGAAAGGCCCACTCGTCGTGCGCCGACTTCAACCGCGGCAAAAACCGACTCCAGAAGGGGCGCGACCGTTGTAGTGAGCGACCTAAACAGCACGAACCGACAGAACGCTCATGGCACCCAACGCTTTAAAAAGCAGCTTTTCACGTTTCAAAAGTAACTTTTCACACCTCAAATAGCGTCACTCATGTCGAGAATCTATTTTTAGATGGCGTTCCCGCCATTTTGATAATCGCTTGGTCCAAAGGCTGATGCACACTCGAAATATCAGTATGCGTTGCTACTACTAGAATGATTTACTTCCTAAAACCTTCTCGAACCTCCTTCACTGACGATCGCTCCCGCTCGCGCTTTCCTTCCATACCCCCGCGTCTTTTATTGGACTGCGACGTGGGAACGGGACGCCGGATTGCATGTACTAGCACTGTGATTGGTCGAAACTCTATTTGTGTGAACCAATCCAAACCATGGCAATGTTCCCGAACGGCCGCGAGTTCACGGTATTTAATTGAAGGGAGTTGCTCTTATTTTATTATAATTGCGCCTGAGGCCGCTCATTTCGAATTTATTTCCACCAGCCGCAGCAGCATGGCCGTCGAGAACAAGCACTTTGCGAGCGAAGCCGCCTTCCAGGCCGAGATCGCCCAGGACAAGTACAAGGACCGCCTCATCGTCATCGACTTTACGGCCTCGTGGTGCCCGCCCTGCCAGTACATCAAGCCGATCTTCCACCGGTACGCCGACGAGACGCCGGACGCCACCTTCTTCCAGGTCGACGTCGACGAGAGCGACGAGCTTTCGGAGGCGCTCGGCGTGAGCGCGATGCCCACCTTCCAGTTCTGGCGCAACGGCGTCAAGGTTGAAGCGCTCACGGGCGCCGACAAGGACAAGCTCAAGGCGCTCATTGCGTCGCTCAAGTAAGCGCTATGTAATCCCCGTAATTCTACTGAACACGTGATGCATAACGTCGACAACGCAGCCACAAGTGCATGGACAACATAGACTGCGTGGCCATGGCGTCACTGCTGCTCCAACCTCCACAGCCCATGGGCAAGGACGACGCAGCGACACGCATGATCCGGCGACGGCGAGGAGGTGGATAGGAAGCCGGCTTGGTCGCACTCGAGCGGTCAGCGTTGGCGGAGAGTCTGCTGCAGGCATTCCTCATAGATGCAAAAAGGCGCTGCCCGAGGAAACCACAGAAGGTCCGGGAGATCCACCAGCGCGTGCGTATCGTGTCGAGCGCCAGCACCAGCGATATCAGAGGTACACGGAGCTCACGTGGCCCAACCTTGGCCGACCGCCCGAGCCTATTGTCTGTCGTCGCGGCAGCATACCCTGTGAGCCCACCGATGGCCTCGGGCGATCTCCCAACGGCGACTACAGGCCCTCGCTCTTGTCACCCTCAAAGGTTGGCTTCATCAAGCCGTCAGTAAACAAGGAACACACAGTATATATTTGTCAGTAAGGTACGCACTTGAATTACTTGAGCCCGTTGCAGACGTGGTCGATGAGCTCGAGCGCCTCGCGGGCGTGCTGGGGCTGAAAGACCAGCGCGGGTCGGAAGCGCAGAGACCGGTCGCCGCAGCCGCCCGATTGGAGCCCGACGCCGCGGAGGCGTGTCACCGCGAGGTCGCGCTGCGCCGGCGACGCAAAGTCCACGGCCACGTACGTGCCGACACCGCGCACGTTGCTGAGGACGCTCGGGTACTGGGCCGCGAGCTGGTGCAGGCCGTTCTGGAGGTACTCACCGGCGATGCGTGTGTTCTCGAGCAAGTGATCCTCGTCGACCGCATCGACAAAGGCTTGAAGCTGAAGCATCTTGGCCGGGTCGCCCATCCATGTGTTGAAGATGCGGTACGTCTCTTGCGGGCGAAACTCGGGCTTGGCGTAGTACCCACCCGTCTGCATCTTCTTGCTGAACGTCACCACGTCCGGCGGCCTCGCGAGCGCCCAGTGCTCGTGCGCCCAGAACTTGCCCGTGCTGCCGCCGCCCGTTTGCACTTCGTCCACGATAAATGCGACACCGTGCCGGGCTGCAATCTTGTGATGCCATCAGTGCCACCTGATACATTGATACACTGATAGTTTTGTACCTCGCGCAGCTGGCGGAAAAAGGCCGGACTCGCATGGTTGTCGCCGCCTTCAGCTTGGATTGGCTCGACGATCATGCCTGCCACCTCGGACGACGCTGTCTTCTTGACGTTGTGCTGCGTCAAGAGCGCGTCGACGTAGTCGAGGCACTTTGCCTCCTCTTGGGCGTTGGCATCTGCGTGGTCGGCCAGCGGGTACGTGAGCTTTGGGAACGGCGCGACGGGCCAGTCCATGGCGGGGATGTCCACCTTGTGAATGGCCTTGGAGTGTGTGGCCGAGAGACACCCGAGGAGGCGGCCATGGAAGCCGCCTGCAAACGACAAGATCGAGAGCGCGGGAGAGCCCGGCGCCGCGTTGCGCATGCTGGACTGCAAGTCTAGCTCGGTTGGCGGTCCGCCTACAATATCGCCTTCGATGAGCCTCTTTGCATACAGAGGCGAATGTATCTGTCGCACCGCGCGCCTTGGTTTGGTACCAGATGAAGACGGCCTTGAATGCGTTCTCGTTCGCGCACGAGCCGCACATGAGCGTCGCTATCTCGGACAGGCCGGGCGGCTGCATCTTAGCGAGCGTTGTCTCGAGCATGTTGGCCCAGTCGGCCGGCGGAAGGATCCCGAGGCACGGCCGCTGGCTTAAAATCGCGAGATTCTTGGGGTCCTGGATCGCTGCGTGGATGCGTGGGTGGTTGTATCCAATCGGGAGCGACGCGATCTGTGCATAGACATCGAGGTACCGGTTGCCGTCAACGTCCACGATGTAGTTGCCCTTGCTCGCGGTATAGTCGACAAAGAACTGGACGGCCGCCGCTTGCTGCATCGACTGCATCTCGCGGCCAAGCGCGATCGAGCGGGGGCCAGGGTACGACGTCGCCATGTGCGCCGAGGCGGCTTCGCCGGGGAAGGCCGGCGTCGGCGTCGACGGCAGCGCGGGTAGCGCCAATGAGGCAAATCCGCGCACCGTGCGCATCGTTTGCCGGCCGTTGGATACCATCATCATCCTCATCATGTCAAAGGAAAACTGACCACGGAAATCGAAACCCTAAGATCCAAGTTGAAGTTGGTGCGGCGCCGCCAGCTGGTCGATTGCGCACTCAGATCTCAACCCACTTGAACTTGTCGTCAGCAGGGAAGAAGAAGTGGGCGTGTTCATGATAGCATGCAGCGCACGCGGGGGCAGGGACGGGCTGGCGGCAAGCTCTGGCGGCAGGAGGGACGTTCAGAGATCTGATCGCGAAAGACGACAGCCATGGGTACGGTCCGACGAACGTCACTGAATCAGTTCGCACCGACACCCCACAGCACAGCTCCACAGCACTGGATCGGCATCACGAGACCATTGTAAGGTCCATTCATAATGGCAGCACATGAGGGCTATTGGTTCTGGTATGGCGCTAACCTTCCCGCCTCTTCATACAACGTTGAGAGCCAGGCTCGTCCGTGATACTACCGCTAATGGTAGTGGAGCGACAGGGGTTTGGGCTTGTTCTGCAGCAACAACCGAGCATTCTGTGAGGCTCGTCGATACCCTTGCACTCGGCGGATGCCAAGACAGCCATGCACGAGAGACGCTGTGTCAACTAATCGGTTTACTACCCCATGACGATCATGGCACCAAATGGAGACGCCCGATCTTTTGTTTTTATTTGTGGCAAAAGCCACGAATAATCTAATATGTGCCACCAATAGCTGCCACCACACCAAAACAATGGCGTTCGTTGCTGCGGCAAGGTGGATCAAGCCTCTCGTTACCGGCGGTGCGCGACGCGCGCTGCGACCGTGTGTCCGTGCCAGCGCTGTACACATGAAGCCGCGCACGGTGCAGCTGCCGATGGCCTTTAGCACGAAGCGCGAGATCCGCCGCCTCCACGTCGAAGGCCGCTACAGCGAGGTCGTCGTGTACAACGGGACCGTGTACCTCTCGGGTCAGCTGGCCGACGACCTCGACGGCGACGTTGCCGCGCAGACCACCGAGACGCTCGCGAGCATCGACCAATTCCTCGCCGACGCGGGCACGGATAAGTCGCGCATCCTCTCGGTGACCATCTACCTCAAGGACATGGCTGATTACGCCGGTATGAACGCGGTCTGGGACGCGTGGGTCGTCAAGGGCGCGACGCCGGCCCGCGCCACGGTGCAGTCGGCGCTGTACGACCCCAAGGTGCTCGTCGAGATGTCGGTCATCGCGGCGCTCTAATGCAGTACGAGGAGTTATTGCTTTTGATTTGATTGTCTCGGGATTTCATCGGTCTTTCCATTGGACCAAAGTGAAGCAAGAACCAACTGCGTACAGAAAGACACGTGACCAACAGGTCGCAACTGCGAGGTTCGCCGCCAGCGTCTGCCGTGGAGTGTATCGTCCGTCGCGTCTCGCTTTCGGTGCTTGGCACTCGTAGACGTGTCGAACGGTACCAGTATTGCTCAGCCCGATGTTCTTGAGTCTTTCGAAAGCTATTGTGCATTCGCTCCTCCACTTCAACGCGATATGCACTCAAACAAGCACGAGATTGCAGTTGAGAGGGCGTTCAAGTGATGTCGACGGCGCCAGTAAGAGTGATTTGTCTGTAGAAATCGAATACAAAAGCAATAACTCCTCGTACTGCATTAGAGCGCCGCGATGACCGACATCTCGACGAGCACCTTGGGGTCGTACAGCGCCGACTGCACCGTGGCGCGGGCCGGCGTCGCGCCCTTGACGACCCACGCGTCCCAGACCGCGTTCATACCGGCGTAATCAGCCATGTCCTTGAGGTAGATGGTCACCGAGAGGATGCGCGACTTGTCCGTGCCCGCGTCGGCGAGGAATTGGTCGATGCTCGCGAGCGTCTCGGTGGTCTGCGCGGCAATGTCGCCGTCGAGGTCGTCGGCCAGCTGACCCGAGAGGTACACGGTCCCGTTGTGCACGACGACCTCGCTGTAGCGGCCTTCGACGTGGAGGCGGCGGATCTCGCTGGGCATGTTGGCTGGCTGGTCTGGATCTGCAATGTGGCGTGATTCTAGCGGTATGAAACACCATTTCTGGTTTTATACAGCCCATAGTGTTTGAAACAGCAATTTGGTGCTTGGTGCGCGTTGCATTCCGTTGCAATATTGTTCCAGTGACAAGAGTGCCCCATGTGGATTGAATTTTACCTCTCGTGTCCCTTTGATTTGGATTGTATACAAGTACATGTGGGGACGAGTGGGCTAGCACCATCAAGCTCATGTTGTTTTGGAACAGGTGACTTGTTTAAAACGAAGTATGTTTTAAACTGAGATATACCTCGTTCGGATTGGTCAAAATAATCCTGCGGTCGGATTGGTTTAAAATCGGAAAAAGGGGAATTTCGAACGCTCGCGTTGTGAGTGGTGGAGTGTGCGAAGCAGCGAGTGACCAGGAAGCATGAGCAAGAACACGGGCCCGGATCTCAAGAAGTACATGGATAAGACGCTCTGCATCAAGCTCAATGGCAGCCGCAAGGTCTCGGGCGTCCTGCGCGGCTTCGACCAGTTCATGAACATCACGCTGGAAGAGGCCATCGAGGAGGTCTCGACGACCGAGGCCAACAAGCTCGGCATGGTCGTCATCCGCGGCAACAGCATCGTCCAATTCGAATGCCTCGACCGTATGTAAGCGTAAGGCGACTGATTAATGCAGCACACGTTATGTATTCATCCACCGTCAACGCACGTTCCTAGATCTGGTCTTCAAACTGCGTCAAGAGCCAACTTGTCATCTCGTCGTCGAGAAGGGGCATGCGGGCCTCGATCGTACCCACGTCGGCCTCGCTGTTGTACGCAAACGCAAGTGGTGTCATGTCCATGGCCATGTCAGTGAGCTTGGGAGGCGGCGGTTTGAGCCATGCCTGCGAATACGCCATCGACGCCTCCGTGTAGGCCAGCACACCTTTGGCTTTGGCTTCGTCGGGCTGCTTGGCCTTGTAGCTGCGCTCCTTGACTGTCTTGCGGACGATCTGCAGCGCCTGCGCGGGCTCTCGTAGCGAGAGCGACTCGTGGGCGTACGTGCACACGCTCGACTGTCGCCGGGACTGCTTCCGGAAGCTAAAGTAGTTGAGCTGGCGCTGGAAGCTCGTAAACTTGCTGTGGCGGAAGAAGCGCGGGAGCACCGATGTCGAGAAAACATCAATGTCGAGAATGTCAAAGGACTTGCCATCTTCGTTCCAATGGAGGCACGGCGCATGCGACTGCAGCATCTCGATGAGCGTCTGAATGAACGGCGCCAACGTTGGTCGTGGAGTCATCGGCACCTCGGGCTCGATTGCACTCTACACCGCTGCGCCACGTTGCTTGACGCATACGCGACCTGGTCCCGCCTTGTCCCGCCTTGTCCCGCCTTGTGGCGCGCGCGCTTACAACGATCGACCCGGTGGACAATCCGGACATCTTGGTCGGCTTGGTCCTACGTTGGCGACGTTCCTCGCACCGCGGGGCTCTTTGCGCCACGTTGCTCATCGCCTGTGTCAAAAATATACTGCGTCTGCCCATGGTATCGTCGTACCATTGTCTTGAGACTGTGCACGAGTCGAGGATCGTGGCGGCTGTGATATCCAAGCTTGCGATCACATGATCAACTTCAAGTCGTCTGGAGCAGTCCGGATACGGGCGTCGGCGGGCCACAGACACGGTGCGGTCGCGGGATTTAATTTAAATACAAATGGCAAGTAATAAAAATCCAGTTGACGGCGTTGGGCCTCTCCCTCCGGATACGGCGGTGGCGTCCTCACTTTCTTGTGTCGTTTTATTTTATTATCGTACGATTTGTATGAAAAGGGTCGAAAGTCGCATTGTATTGCGCCGCTCCGTAGCTTGCCATTCTGCAATTCGACCGACGCCATGTCCAAGCAAAGCTGCGCGTTGTGCTGCTCGATGCTCTCGGCCTTTGGTGTCATCTTCCTCGGGCTCCTCGGCTTCCTCATGCAGAGCCAGCCGCAGTACATCAAGAGCCTCGGGAAGGACGTGACGGCCGGCCCCGTGTACAACACTGGTAGATGCGCCATTGCGTTGCGAGTCGAATGAGCTCATGCCCTTGGATGTAGCCATCGTGTACGCCGGCGTGTTTGCGGCGTCGATTGCCGTCTACTTTGTCGAGGCCCGCAAGACCGACAATGGCAGCTCGGCGTACGAGCATCTGCAGATGAGCGAGCGCGTCGAAGGCGTCACGAACGAGAAGACGCCGCTTTTGAGTAGGTAACTCGTCGGCGCGCCGCGGCAAGCTCCTTCGCGTCGCTGACCTTCTGTAGATGAGGACGAATAGCTGGCTACGTACTTATATAAGCGATTTCGTTTCGTCCGCGTCCGCCCTTGTCGTACCCGCGTTTTTGAATACCACGACCTCCTTGACCCTGTGTGTTGTCTCGTGTCCCACGCAGCATTCGCCTCGCCCCTCTTGCCGCCGTCGACCGCGTCGCCATCACTTGACATGTCGCTACTGCATGTCTCCGCAGGCCGCACCCAAGTATGGCCTTCCGCCACTGGCCACTCCGTCGCCACGGGCAGGCTCGTCGGTTGCCCAGTCAGCACTTGGGCATCCTTGACACTGCTGAGTTGTGCGACGACCGCGTACGTTGACCCTTCATTGGCCCTCGATCGCTTCGACGCTTGGCACAGCTGCCCAGCCTCTTCCGACGCCATCACGAAGCCAGAAACTACAGCTTAGACGAAAGGGCAAGGCTCACTCATCTCAGTCGTGCCAGCATCTGCGCTGTACGTAGTCGTGGCGGTATTGATTGCAGTGCTTGGACACGTAAAGATCATATTCTGTTTGCTAATAGATAGTCGTTGGTGGTCTGAGCTAATGCGCCGATGCCGGGAGGAGCGCGAGGAGCGTTTGCAAAATTGAGATGGCGCGCGTCGGGTGCAACTGGCCCGGGAGCTCCTTGTTCTTGTGCGCTATCTGCTTGTCGACAATGCTCTTGGTCCGCGCACGCTTTGCAAAGAGCGCGTGGAGCAGCGAGAGCCGGCGGTGGGCTTCGCTCAAGAGCGTGTGCTGGCGGCCGTCAAACTCGACGTTGTCGCGCACGAGACACATGAGCGCGTACTTGAGGAGACGCGCGTTGAGCGTAAAGAGCACGGCCGAGTCGCGGTGCATTTGCATGAGGTCGATCCAGAGCTCGCAGCTCATTGCGTGGCCCTCGACGTCCTCGGCGATCGCAATGTTGGCCGCGTGGAACCGGCCTTGCTGGTGCAAACAGAGGTTCAGTACCACCTGCAATAGCTGGTGGAGCAGCTCGAGCTGCGGCCGGCTCCGGTTGCACTTGCGGATCGCTGCGTACAGCAGCCGGGGCACTTGATGCAAGAGACATTCGACGCAGCACTCGCGACTGAGGCGCGTGCACATTTCGAGCGTATGCACCGCGTGGAGCATGTCTTGAAGGCGCGGCGACGTGTGTAGAATCGCAAGCGCGCGCTTGAGCCGAAGGCGTAGCTTGATCTTCTCTTCTTGTACAAACAGCGGCTTTTGATCGCGGAGCGCCGCGGCGACGACGTTGGCCGACGTCTTGGCCGCGTCGAGGCGATGACGCACGGCCGTCACGGGCGAGAGCCGGTCGTACTGGCGACGGACGAGCGTGCCGCGCCACCACGCCTGGAGCTTGAGAATCGCCTCGCTCGGGAGGACGCGGTGCATCGAGATCCGGCGCGGCTTGGGCTGCTGCTTGCGCATGCGTGCGTGGGCCCACCACGCCTGGATGATGCGCGCCGCCGACTCGCGGTACTGGACGTGCTCGATGAGGCCGAGCCACCAGTTTTTGAGAAACTGGAGGCTTTGGTAGCGCCGCACAAAGTCCTGGATACGCGTGGCCGAGAGACTCTGCGCATCTTGTTGCTGGATCGAGAGACACACAGCGAGCGAGTGCCACTCATCTTGCATCGTCTTGAGCCGGCGGTTGGACTGCAGCGTACGCCACCACGACTGAAGCGTGTACGCGGCACCGTCGCGCTGCTCCTCGAGCACGAGCACGAGCTGGGTCCAGTAGGCCCGGACGCGCGACCGGCGCTGAACCTCCAGCCACCACGTTTGGAGCGTCTTGGCAGCTTGGTGCTGCATTAGCTTGGTCTCGTGCTGCCTCTGCACAACCATAGCGTCGCGTTGCTCGTACAGCAGTGTAATGATGTGCGTCCACCACGAACGGAGGATCGTTCGGCGCTTGTACTCGCGCCACATGGCCTGGAGCGTCGTCGCCGCTTCTCTCTCGCGCGCGCCGCGCTGGGCACGGAGACTCGTGATCGTGTCGGTCCACCACACCCGCACGAGGTACTGGCGCTGCGACGTGCGCCACGCGGTTTGCACAAGAAGCGCAGCCTGGTTGGCACGATAGACATCGGCGACCAAGGTGTGCCACGCGGCACGCAACACCGTCTTGCGCCAAGCGCGCTGGACAACGATTGCGGCGGCGTCGGTCGTTTGGAGCTCCCGGACGGCTGCAATGACATTGAGAAACCAGTCGCGGACCTGCGAACGCCGACACGCCTTGTACCACGCCTCTTGGATGACGCGCGCAGCGTGGTCGTGGTACGTGAGCACGGCGACCGCGTCGAGCCACCACTTTTTGTGGGCCCACGTGTGCGCGTAGTGGCGCCACCACGTCTGGAGACGCACGGCTGCGGCCACGGACGTCGTTTCCTGCGCATGCTTGGCGGCAACGGCAAGCGCGGTCCAGCGAGAGCGCACGCATACCGCCCGATATCGTCGAAAGGCGCGCTGGAGCCGCGTCGCAGCCGCAGACGTGTAGGCGTCCCAGAGCTCGTGGCGGTGGCGTTCGAGCACGTGGCTGACGAGATTATGCCACACAGCGACATTGGCCCGGCGCTTGGCATGGCGCCACGTCGTTTGAATGACTACCGCGGCGTGGTTGCAGCGCTGGTAATGGGCGGCGAGGATGACATCGACCCAGCGCTGCTTGCGCACGTGGAGCAGCATGGCTTTGCGATACCACAATTGCAGCGTCGTGGCTGCGTCGTGCTGCTGTTCGAGAAGCGCGTTGGCGAGCGCATACCACGTCGCCTGGATCCGGTACAAGGCGGCCATCTCGAAACGGCGTCGGCACCAGCGCTGGAGCCGCGTCGCCGCTGCTTGTTCCTTTTGTCGCAAGAGCACGACCATGGTCGACCATAAATGCTGCACCTTCTGCGTGCTCTTGGTGCGGAGCCAGCGCTGGATTCGGGTCGCCGCGGCCACTTGGCGACGCTGGAGACGCGCGTAGTAGACCAGGGCGTACCAGAACGCTTGCGTCTGGCGGCGCCGGACCGCGCGCTGCAGTGTCACGGCCGCCGCGTCGCGCAACGAGCGCAGGTGGAAGGTCATTCGGTGCCAAAGCGCCTTGGTGAACGAGACACGGCGATACGCGCGCCACCATTGCTGGAGACGGACCGCGCTCTGCGCTTGCTCCATCGCGCGGCGAAAGGCGGCTTGGGACGCACGAATGTCGGCGAGCCACGCGCGGACGGCCCGTTGAATGCACGCTGCGGCCGCATCAAAGTCGTAGTTGTTGTCCACCTCGATACCTTCTGGCGTTGCTTCGTCTTCGTCCCAGCGGGGCGGCGACGGCGGGGTCACGACCGCTACAGGAGGCGACGGCGGGGCCACGACCGCTACAGGAGGCGACGGCGGGGCAATAACGGCCATGGGTGGCGATCGAGGCCGAGGTGCATACACTGCGACGACCGGTGACCGTGGCGCGCGCACTGCGGTCAGCGTCGGCGACAACGGCGCATAGACCACTGTGGACCGTGGCACCGAAACAGGGGCCTGCGATGCGACGACAGGCACCGGCGGCACACGAACAGGTGACGCCACGACGACCGGCGAGAGCTCCCGAGCTATGATTGGCACCCGGACGGGGCTTCTCGCAGCCATTTGGGCACGGTGGCGGAGATACCGGGACCGGCAGACCACCATGCGACCAAACGCCTGGAGCTTCCGCGCCAAGTAAAGGAGGCGCTGCACACAGCGGATCGCAAACCGGTTGTGCGACGTCGTGTACCAAAAGCGCTGGATGACGCGCGCCGCGTGGTCGCGCTTGGCCCGGCGCAAACGGCGAAAGCGAGGCACCCACCAATGCTACATCAGGATCAATACCTCGTGCATCTAGCAACGTCGTTGTACCTGGAGCGTAAACGCCGCGTGGATCTCTTTGCTCGCGCCAAGGAGCCGCGAATGCAGATACGCGACGAACGTCATGATGATCTTCTCTTCGGGCAAATTGTTCGAGTCAAACTCGGGCACGAGGACGGGAACTTGGCCGAGGAGCTTGACTTTGGCGTTCACGAGCGCAAAGTTGGCGCGCTCTTGCGACAAAAGCGCTTCGAACTCATCGTGGCCAATGCGGTCCTTGTCGCTTCGGTCGCTTGTCGTCCAGTGCATGTCGGACTTTTCGAGCAGCTAAGATCACAAGGGTTATACTCCAACTGCATACATGGATAGAACTCGTACCCGCGGATGGTAGTAATGCACCATGAGGCAGAGCGCTTTCCCATCGGCAAACGACGCCGTAAAGTTGTGGATCGCGAGGTGGTAGTTGGCACACACGACGCGGCACCACTCGAGCAGCAACTGGGGAATCGACCGGTTGTTTTCGTCGATATCGCCGTCGTGGATCGTTGCATAGACTTGCGCGGCGAGACCCGACCACCGGCGCTTGACGCGGTCAATCTCGGCAGCGACCAAGGCGACGTCGACGACGTGTGAGATCTTGAAATGGCTAATGAGCTATAGTTTATCATGAGGAAACAGGACTCTAGTATAAGAGGAAGAGAAAGGGTACCTTCCAGAGGAGAGCAAGCGTCTTTTCACGGTGGCCGTCGACAATGTCCTTGGGCCCAATCGTCGTAGGCTGGTAGTTGGTCACGGCGCAGCTCGACTCGACCGCGTTGAGCTGCAATTGGCAGTGCTCTTCCAAAAACGACAGCGCGACCTTGACGTTGTGGACCTTTTGGAGCCGCGACACGGCCGGCAAGCGCAGCTGCGGGCTCAAGACCGTCCCGGGCACGAGCGTCTCGAGCAAGCGCACCAGTCGAACGCCGTCGCGGAGGTCCATGGCGAGGTTCTCGACCTGCATGTCCATCTCTTCAAGGACGCTTTGCTCGTATGCGACCGTGTACTCGAGATTGCCAAGATGGCGGAGTACGTTGCCTTCTTGGCTCAGAAACTTTTGGCAAAAATCGTACAAAATCTGCTTGGAGCTCTTGATGGTGCTTGACGGCCGGAAGAGACACGGCAGCGCAATGTGGTCGACGTGCCGCTGCGCATGCGCCTTGTCGAGGAAGTAGACGAGCATGAAGCACTTGACAAGCGTATGGACGCGGAGCTTGGCCAAGTACGCCTCGGACCGGTTGACGCCCAAATGCAGCGACGGGTGCTTGAGCGCCAACACCGGGTCGTTCGTGATGCGCTCGGCGATGAGCCGACGTAGAAAGAGCGGCATGTGCGACGATGACGAGGTCGGGTGGATGAGCTCGCCGAGCGACTCGACGATGCGAAGGCCGAGCACGACTTCGAGTCCAAGCGTGAGCCACAGCGGGTGGTAATGGTTGAGAAGCGTCATGAGCTCGTTCTGCAGACCGACGTCCACATGCAGCGGGCGGTCGGCTCGGATTGTGAGCCGCTTGGCCGTGATTTCCCGCTGGAGACGGTACAGGACGTGGTCCGTGTGGCTATGGTTGTACACGGCATGGGCTGCCTGTCGGATCTTGGACTCGAGGCGGCGGATCGCGAGCAGCCGCAGCTGGTAGTACCGGTCGGTCGTAAGCGGCGTCTCGTCCTTGATCTCGGCAAAGTGCGCGCCGAGGAGCGTAAAGTTGAGCCACTTTTGAAAGCCTTCTTCCTGCTTGGGGATCCATTGGTCGTCAAAGACAATGCGCCGCTTCTTCCAGAGCTGGCTCGTCGACGTCTCGGGCTTGCCTGCCTTGCGCAAGATCGTCGACGACGTCGACGCGTACGATGCGGCCAATGAGGAGGACGTCGATGTTACCTTGGCGCGCTTGGCAGACGAGGACGAGGATGACGAGGATGCAAGCGCGGTTCCTGTAGCGGTGGCGGTGAGCGTACAAAAGAGTTTGAAGCGCTTGTTCAGCCGCACGTGGAGCTTGGCGTGGACGCGGCCGGGCTTAGTCGGCGTAAACACCACGTCGATCGTCGCGGAAGACTGCATCGGGACGACAATCGCCTCGTGCGCATGGACGTAGAACTCGGAGCCAAGAGCCTTGGGTAGCACGTCCTCGACGACGATATGGGCGACGCCATGGTCGCTCGGGTTGAGGAAGCCGAGCGGTAGCGTCCTTGTCTGGCCAATCTCGATTGACCCAAAGTCGAGCTGGGGCACATGGCGGAAGTCGGACGCGATGAAGCACGAGGTCTGCGCCGGGAGCTTGCGCGGGGACGAGGCTTGGTTGGACACGTCGATGGATGGCATCTCGACGCCGGGGGTCTTGCGCTTGAGGGTCTTCTTGAGCTTCCGGTTCTCCTTCTCTAGGTACGCATGCTCCTCCATGAGCTGCCGGCCATCATGCGCGAAGCGTCTACCTGCGACTCGGACGTCCATCCCGCGGCAGCGAATCACTCACTGGTCGACCCAGCTGGGCTTCAAAATTCAAAAAGCCGAGTTTGAAAACTCAAAACCTCTCACAATGGATTGCCCGCGCGGCAACTTTTTTTCGTCCGTAATTAGTGTATGATATCGTCGCCTCTACCAGCACGTCCACCGTCTTCTGTCGGCGCTCTCGGACAGGACAACGAGCAATTTTGCGCTTCAGTATCAGAGAGGAAGCCCAAGACGAAGCACAAGCTTTCATTGCATTGTACCGGTACTAGTACCGGTATATGGGCACTCGATGAGAATTCCAAAATGTGTCGCCATTTGAAGCTAATACTGCAGTTATATTGGAACTGGCACGAATAGGCGGTTCGCTACGCCACAAGCTCATCTACCAGAGTACCTTGTAGATATATATCCCATTCATTGGCCTGCGCAATGTTGATACACGCCACGGATTCTTGGTCCGGCGACTGTATAGCTCCTAAACCTCTAGCAATTGATCGATAGCCGTGGCGCAAAATATAGTGTTATGAAGGAGAATGGACCCTCTTTTTGTCTCGAAGATCCGCTTGTGGCACGCGATCTCAAGCGTCGCCGCAGCGAAAGATCGCATCTGCGAGATTGCACCAGCATGAGCGTGAGCATCAAGGTGTGCATCCGGTGCCGGCCGTTCACGATCGATGACACGCTTGGCGTCGTCATGACACAGAAGGGTGACGAGGAAGGCGAGGTCGAGCTCATCAACTCGACGTACTCGACGACGCGGTACACCTCATACAAGCCATGCCACGGCCCAAGCCCATTCGATCGTGCGCTAGGTTTGGCTTTAGCTGGGCATGGTGGAGCGCATATGGCTACAAGCGCCACGTCAAGGGCGACTCGCTGCCCGCCGACAACATGCTGCTCGTGGACCAGGCCATGGCGTACGAGGCGTGCGGCGCCAAGATCAAGGACGACCTCTTGGGCGGCAACGCGGTCGTCATGTTCGCCTATGGCCTCAGCGGTTCGGGCAAAACGTTTACCGTCTTTGGCGTATGCTCGCTATACAGGCTGCGAAGCTCATGGCCATGGTTTTAGCCCGACGCCGTCGACATTCCCGAAGCGTGGTTCAAGCACGAAGAGCCGCATCCGCTCGTACGAAGCCTTCCACCGGAAAGATGATCTGAAGATGCTGATCATGTAGTGGGGCATCTTTCCGCGGCTTGCGTACAACCTCTTCAAGGAGAAGCAGGACGGGTGGAAGATCACGATGAAGTACTTTCAAAATGTCGTCGACACGGTCCGCGACCTCATGTCGCCGATGGCCCAAGAGCAGCAGTACAAGAACGGCATGCGCAAGGACCCGGATGGCTTTATGGACATTGAGTGGTGCCAGGTACACATGACATTACTATCCAATGGTATCCAACTATCCAACTATCCAATTAGGGCGTTGTGCTCAAGGACTGGAACGATCTCCGCAAGACATTTATGAGCGCCAACTCGCGCAAGGCGATTGCACCGACGCAGTTCAACCACCAGTCGACGCGTGGGCATTGCATCATGACGCTTGAAGTCGAAAAGCCGGATCCGGAGCGCGAAGGTATGAAGCAGCGCGGGCGCATCTATGTCTGCGACTTGGCCGGCACCGAGCCTGCCGGGGACATTGTGTACGCGAATTACCAAAAGCTCGTGTTTGACGACGGGTCGATCGAGATGAAGTACCTCGGACCGCACCAGGATGCATCGAAATCCAAGGAGCTCCAGGACCAAGGCAAGAAGATCAATTTGAGTTTGACGGAAATGGCCCAGTTTTTCATGAAGATGGCGGGTATTTCTCCATTTTATCGTATATATACGGTATTTTTATGTACATATCTAGAGGCTGTTCAGAAGAAGACGCTCAAGCCGGGCGCGAGCATTCCTGGCTGCAACTCGTACTTTCTCTGCAAGTACCTCAAGGACACGATGCTCCAAGCACGGTACACATACGACACTAGTCTCCACCTTGAAACATTGACACTTGTATTAGCACCTACCTCTTTTGCGCAGTCCGACCCGAAGTAACGTACCTCAACTACACCTTCTCGACGCTCGGCTTTGCCAAGAATGCGTCTGTCATCAAGCTACAGCCCAAGAAGGCATCTGCGGCCGCGTCACCCGCAGAACGCAAGGTGCCGCTTTCGGACAGCCAAAACAAAGCTCAGCATATTGTTACGCGTAGCTCATGGCCGAGCTCGATGAGATGAAGAACCTTGTGTCGATGCTCAAGGCTGAGAACGAAAAGATGGCTAAAATGGGCGGCGGCGGCGGTGGCAGCGACCAAGTCGACAAGATCAGCGCCCTTCTCGCCCAAAAGCAACGCGAACTCGAAGGTACTTGTATTATCTATGAATTAGTTTCTAACACGGCAGACAACGCTAGGTGTGCTCTCGGGGGAGACGAGCGATGGCGGCGACAGCGGGTCCAAGCCCGCGGCCAAGGCCCAAGAAGAGGCCATGCAGCGGCAGAAGGAGGAGTACGAGAAGCGTGGGATTTCACTCACGTTCTTTGAAGAGAAGACGATGCTGCCGTACTTGATCAACCTTGACGTCGACGCCTACCGGTCGCAGCGCTTCATGTACCTGCTCACGAAAGAGGTATGGTTGGCTCTAGAGCCAAGTGGACAATGTGTCCATAATTTGCTAGGTAACAATTGTCGGCACGAAAGGCGACATCAAGCCCATGTCGCTCTCGGTCGTCGACGGCCACTGCAGCTTTGAAAAATCTGCGCCCGTGCTCGCCGAAGACGGCGCCAACACGGGCAGCGTGGTCACACTCGTCGGTGGCAACGGCGACACAATGCACAATGGCAAAAAGCTCGAGAAAGGCGCGCGCGTTGAGCTTGCGGCGTTTGATCGCGTCGTGATTGGCAACGAACTCATGCTCTTCCGCTACCCGGGTGCGTACCCTTGCCCTACCCTAGCCCTAACGTCCAATTTTCGGTGTGTAGGCCGCGAGGACCCGGCGAAAGAGCCCCCAACGGCCGACGACGCGGCGCACGAGTTCCAGGAAGCGCTCCAGAGCCAAGATAAAGCGGCAATGCAAGCGCTGGAGGCGCAGCGACTGCAGTTTGAAGCCGAGAAGGCCGCGTGGGAAGAACAAAAGGCCCAAGCCCAAGCCGCGCGTTCCGAAGCGCTCTCGTCGGCAACACCAGAAGAGGTCGCCGAGCAAGAGCGCAAGCTGCAAGAACTCGAGCAGCAGGTTGGCATGTTTTTGCTTGAATTTTGAGGATTTTTAGGACTTTTAACAATGATATTTGTACCGGTTAGGAGAAGGAGCGACTCGCGCGACAAGTCAACGACCAAGAGCTGCGGGACGTTTTGCCCAAGATCAACGAACTCAAGCAAATCGTGCATGTGCTCAATCGCGATGTTTTGAGTTTTGAGACGGCACTCAAAGGCACGGGCGGTGATGGCCAAGGTACAATTTGGTTGCATTGAGTGGTCTTTTATAGAGCGCGCGTATCTAGGCATTCCGCAGGTCAAGGTCAAGGTCCACAACAGCAAGACCGACGAGACGATCTTGCTCGATGTGTTTGAGTTTGTGAAAGCGTACTCGCTCTTGAAAGACGAAGTTGCGTTTCTCAAGAACGCGATTGCCAACAACCGCGAGTACACGTCGCCCATGGGCCACGATCCAATCACACTCCTCTTTGACAACTCGTTCCACGTATATTTACCGCCGAATGCTCCCTGCTTACGGTATATTGAACTAACTAGGTCGGCAGTGCGACCAACTTTCCAGAGTATCTCTTGTACAACCTCGAGACGGATCCGGACGAAAGGTTCATCATCGCCTCTCTGTATCTAGCTCATAAGATGAGTTAGTCGCATGAACATCAAGAACGCAGTGCCGCCTTTCAACACGATCGGGAAGCTCGAGGTCGTTTGGACGCCGCTGAGCGCGGAAGACGAGGCGCAGCACAACCCGGACAACATTCAAGACATTGACGGTCCCATGGATCTGGTCCGTCGACCCACCGACAATATTGTCCTCATTTCTTACTTTGCCAATAGGTCGGCAAGTCGTGGACGTACAAGCTCGAGATCAAAGGCGCGACGGGGCTGCCGATGATTACGGACTTGGCCTATGTCCAGTATGAGTTTCTCGGCGAGCTCTTTACAACCGAAAGCGTTGAGCAAAACACGCGCAACCCCGTCTTCAATTACTCGCATGTGCACCACGTGCCGTGCGTCACGGCCGAGTTTGTCCAGTACCTGCAGACGCACCGGCTCGAGTTCCAGCTCTTCATCAACCCCTACATATTGGACCCGCCAAAAGACGCGATCAGTACGGCCAACCCCATGATTGTGAGTCTCCTTGGCGGCACCGCGACAGGTTGGTCCCTACTACCCGTTGGGTTCTGAGAGGTGTCGCCCTTGGTTTAGCCAAGCTGCCGTACGAGGAGCTCGAAGTCCAATGCAAGAAGCTCGAGGGCGAGAAGCAGCTTTTATCGGACGAAGTCGTGTTCTTGCGCCAAACGTTCAGGGCCGCGACAGGGCAGTACGTCTCTGTGGCAATGAAAATTGGTGTGATATGTTGAGCGTGTGTAGGGAGGCGCCGGCGTACGCACCGCAATCGGCAAGCGCCGAGACGACAGGGGACCTCTCGACACCGCGCAAGCAGCTGGCCGAGGCCAAGTCCAAGGACGCACTCCTCAACACCGAGACGCCGAACGCGACGGCGTAGATGGCATTCATAGTCCTAGTACCATGTATAGAAAGAAAGAACTAATATCCATGTCCAGCAGCCGCCGTGTATTCACCTCGTCGGGTTGTCGAAAGGTGGTGCTACCAACTAGTGGTGCGACTGCCAGTGCGCCAAGAAAAGCGGAGATCAGAGAACGAGGAGCTGCATCGGTCCCGCGATGGTTGCCGCTGAACGCCACCGGAGACATGATCAAGAACCCGAGCCGCCGTTGACGACTCGAGCGAGGGGCGTGCCGAGTAGAGACGGAGCAGATACGGCACCGATCGACTGGGTGTTGGCGTTGACAACCCGAGCCAAGGTCGTGTCGCCTTCGGCCCCGTTCCAGCGTCGTCGCGATCAACTTGAACTGAAGACGCGCATACAGCAGCGGGTTCTTGAGCCTAGAAGCTGTGACCCGCTTGAAGCGGCGCAATCGAAGGTGTGACCCGCTTGGAGCTCGAGCTGTTTGTGATGAAATGGAGGTCTAGTCAGTGAGAAAGACCGTGGTGCCCCAGAAAGGAGGACGGGCTTGGCGTAGAGAGACCTAGAAAGCTCCATGATGTCGCACTTGGGATTATATCATGGTCCCTGAAAGGACCGCATACTATAGTATAGTATAGTCGTTGCAGTGAAGAACATCAGAGCCATCATCGCAACATTTGCGTTCAGCGCTTGGATGCGTTGTTTTAGACTGCAAGAATATGGGCGGGCATTGATAATGCGAGATGTTGGTATTGACTGAATCGACGCAACTTTAGTGTTTGAAATGACTGCACCCAATGAGAAGTATACTCAAACCAGGATACATTAAACGTGAGGTTCGCTCTTGCGTCGACGCTCACAGGTCGGGTCGGCTTGAAGACCAGGGGTCCGAGGTGCCTTCGGGCATCTTTTGCTTTAGCTCAGCGACTGTGGCCATGGCGCAGGCGCTCAAGGTCGGGCGCTACTTGAGTGCTAACCCGTCGGCCACGATCGAGGACCTCGCACGCTTCGTGCTCACGGACGACAAGCTGCCAACGGAGACGGTCATGAACTGGGTGGCCTTCTTCATCAAGCCGTCCACCGAGCTCGTCGACGTTGGCGACATGTGCGAGACTCTCGGTCTTGACAGCGGCGCGTCTGCCCACTCGCTCCGGGTCAAGCGCAACCTGTGGATGCTCAACGACGACCAAGTCACGGTCGTATCCGTGGACTCCAAGACCACGTACCGTGTCGCCGCGTCCGCGATGTGCGAGGTCATCAGCAAGCTGTCCGGTGCCGGCGAGGCTCGTCGCATCTTGGCGCTGCTGCAAGAAGCGCGGCGAGCGTACCGGACACGCCTCGAGAAGGCTGGCGAACCCAAGGCGAAGAAGATCAAGTACGACGACCATGCGCGTTCGGAGCTCATGCACATTCTCGTAGGACGCATCACATGCCCGTGGCGGCGCCATCTCGCACAACCTCGACGCCAGCGCGTCAGCCTCGACCCGCAGCGCCGGTGACGCCCGCACCGGCGACAGTGCAGCATGAAGGCGCGCCAAGACGGTCTACGCGGCGCTTTGTGGTATGCACCTACTTCGTGCGAGTGTTCTTCATATCGGGCTTGTCTAGACGTTCATGTACGCCTCGCCGTCCCTCGTCATGGCGCCCAAAGGCGGCCTCGTCCTATGCAGTGTATGTATATGCGCGGCTCGACACAAAGCTCTCAACGATCGACATTTGTAGCATGCGGATGTCGAGGCCGAGAACGAAGCCGTCGTGAAAGGCTTGGCCGTCGCCTCTTACGCCGAGGTCCGTGTTGGGTCGTCTGCATGTTGTTTGATGATTCTTGATGGTAGCACGGCGAACAATCGTACCAGCACTCGACGACCGCCCGTACAACATGCGCTCTGTGTTGCCAAATTGACATGTTCTGTCTGCCGTAGCTGTCGCTGTGCGCCCGCTCGTGGCGACGCGGTCCAACCTTCAGCAAGTCGAGCTCGAGGGCTGCTCGGTGCTCCACTTTGCCGGGCACGGGATCAAGGAAGGCGCCCTGCTTTTCGAAAACCACAAGATGGCGGGCGATCTTGTCCATGCTCAAGAGGTCGTCAAGTACTTCAAGACCGACAAGCCTCGACTCGTCATCCTGCTGGCGTGCCACTCGACGACGATGTACGTTCATTTGCACATCTATGACTGAAACTATTGCAGGTTCTAGCTCCGGCGTTTCTGGCGGCCGGCGTCAAGCACGTCATTGCCGTGAGCTCGGACTCAAGACGCGGTGACTGTCCTTGTACAGTTTTATTGCTATGCGTCTTGACTAGGTTGTTTCCACTGTGCGGGCGCAACGTCGACGAGCGTTACTGCTGCGAAAGCGACATTGGGACACCCAGCATTGCCGGCGCACACAAGGTCGCGACCACCTCGTCTGCACGGTCAATGCTGGACGTACCGACGTCGTCTTTCGCATCGGGGACGCTTGTCGACGTTGCGTCCGCCTCAAGCACATTGGGTGCGTTCCGGCTGCCCGGGCAAATGAGACGCCATGCCCTGCGTCTTCTCCTTCGCGTCGACGAGCTTCTGGAAGATGCCCAGGTGCGTCTACCCCGTACGAGTTGCATTCTTTCTCATACGTATGGACTGCATAGGAGTCCAAGGGCGCCAACTCGATGAAGGACTCATTTGTCGAGAACGATGACGCAAGAAGCTTCGTTGTATTGGTACGTAGATCTGCAGTCGGTTCGCCAACCCGAAACCTCGCGACGCTTGGCTGCATGGGTCATGCAATGCCGGTAACTCACGCAACGTGCAGCGCAGTTTGCGAGCCGTAGCTCGGAATCAGCGCAAACTGCGATAATAAGCAAAACATTTAGTGTACTTGGTGGTTCTTGTGTGGCTTCTTTCGTCGAGTACATTAGTAGAAATGTCAAAGCGCGGCCTTGGCTCTTGGGTTTCAAACGCATGAGGCTCTCATTTGCGCAGGCATCACAAGGCCTGTTTAAAACATGTTTAAAACAGGCGCAGTCGGCATATAAAAACCAAGACAAACTCTCGGTCACCCCCATTCGCATGTTTGCGAGTTCATTTTGTACAAAATCATAGTATATGTTGTCTTTGGCATCGTAAATGGGGTGTGGGAGCTCTGTTGGGAACGAAACTTTGCGCACACATCCACGACTATGTGCTAGAAGTGCGTGCAAAGTCTCGTTTTGGGACGGACTCTCGGTCACCCACATATTTATGTTTGTGTACCTGAGGCCAGGCCATTTTCACTCTATTTGCTGACATAAGTAGCATGTAGGAACTTATTTCACGCGTTTAGAAGCCTTATCGATACAATTAATGCTTGTTTATACATAAGCTATGTTCGTGCGCCGTGAAACGTCAAGTTCCTAGTGCTATATGCATGTAGACCCATGCAGCGATCCGCGGCGCTCAGTCCATTTTTACAAAAATGAACCAAATGATCGTAATCCGGATACGTCACTCGGCGCTTGCGTTTTCTCGGGCACGAAAGAGCGCCGCACATCACCACACAAGCAACGAGTACCGAGTTTGCTTCCGATGCGTCCGTATTCGAGCTGTCGAAGACACCATATTTGGCTTCAAATATGTCTCTCAATCGAAAAAAACTGTCAAAATGGATACATGGGCGGGTCTTTTTCTCGTGCTAGCAAGGCGTTAAGTTGATGAATGATGCGACTACCTGCAGCGCGCCCATGAGTTGTGCCCAGTGTGCCCAGCGTTGAGGGTGCCCTCGTGGGTGTCTCTTGCCACGATGCCGTCCGGTGCGAACGTGAACTGTGTGGCGATAACAAGGATATTACCTAAATGTATAGAAAAATAGTCCTATTTAGGACATACTTCCTAGTTT